TCCATAAATGCTGGGGAAGTTCAAGATTAGCCCAGGTAAAGTTATTAGGTAGCCCCTCGAGGGATTCTTCTTGCTCCTTACCTACCCTCCCCCAAGTGGCACTGCCCTCTATTTCTGCAACATCCTACCCCTTCTTCTGCTCCTTCTCCATTAGCTCAGCTTTTCTAAAAGGACCTGAAATTCATTTACACGGAACTAAAAATAACTGTAACAATGTTTGTTACCCCTCCTGGAAATATACACATCTTAGTGGTACCAAAAATCTTAAAGGAGCTCCAAAAGCTGAATATCTTTAAGGCATCTGAGGGTGAAGGGGTGAGCATGTGTGTGCGTGCACCACTACTCTATTAGGGTGTTTGGGTCAAAAAGGACCTAACTTTTGTCTCCATTTGAATAAGTTTCTGTAAGATACTTGAATATCTGAGTGCATGGTGATTTGTACCAGAGGCAACAACAATGCAGAGGCTGGATAGGTAGCCTATCAAGACATCTACATTACATAACTCCAAGGGGCAACTCTTACATCATATTCTACATGAAGGCACCTACAGCACATTATGAATGGTGCTCCCTGGAGTTGCACAAGGTAGCAACACTGCTTTCTATAAGAATTATAAAAGGGTAATTTTGAAAGGCTGGGTCTACAGATAATAGTTTGAGAATACTTGTAATGTAATGTGAGATTATATACCATGTTCCAGACAATGTATTGTTATATGTCCCTGAATTAAGAGAAGCAACTGATTCAATTACTGCCCATTAGTCTGTTGTCCCTCATTTCAAGATGAACAGCTACCAAGTATCATGAAACTGAAGGTTTCTTAAATCCAAAAAGAAACATGCATTTAAACCTTTATTTATGGCCTCAGATCACTGATTTCACCTTCAAAATGCAAGAAGGAAGAAAGGAAATAAGTCCAGCCAGAGAGGTGAAAGTGATTTGCCAAGCAAACTTGATCTAAGGAAAAAAAAAAACTTTTAGAAAACATTTTATCAACCCCAAGCAAGAGTAAAACTTAATACAAGAACACTGAAACTTTAACTCACTAACTTATTCTGTGAAATGAAATAATTTAATAATTGATACTTTGGGCAGGACTGAATTTTTCTGTTTTTTAAAATATTAGTGTCCATGGGCCATTCAGGTATATGAAATATTGAAGACTACCATCTACATAACAAACAATCCTAAGATTAAGGTCTCTTCACAGGCAACCTTACACTAAAATTGTATTATCCTTATTCTGAAAACTGTCATTATTTGGCTTTTCTTTCTCTACTATTTTTCACTCAGCCTCTATTTCCTGATTCAGATCACCTATCATCAAAGTTTAAAGGAGCGGAAGTAGGAGACAGAAATACACTAAACCAAGGTGAGAAGAATCCATGCAAGTAATGACAAAAGCTTTTCCATGGGTAATTTAAAGAACAACCTTATAACACCAAGATCTTTTGTAGACAACAGCTTACTGACCATTGCTTTAGTCAAGTTTTAAACCAATTCAGCTGCCTTTTCCCCCTTCCATTAGCAGTTAATTTCTGTATATGAATCCTTATTTTATTTTATTTTTTTTTAAGGCAGCTTGTCAGGTACAGGGATCAAACCCTGGACCTTGGTATTATCAGCATCACACTCTAACCTACTGAGCTAACTGGCTAGCCCTTGTATATAAATCTAACAAGTGATATATATTAAAAACGAATAAAGTACGGTTTACAGAATACATTGCCATAGATACACAAAAAAATCGCCCTAACTGGCCAGGCACAAAAAAAAAAAAACAAAAATCAAAAATACCATTCAGGCATTAATTCTGTCAGACAAGAAAAGGAAGATATATGTTGCCTATATAAATCTACTTAGAAATCTTGGTACAGAGACTTGAATGGAAAAATCTGTAGTTTGGTTACATATATTCATTTTTTACCTTTTTATAGATTCAAAAGAGCAATACAAGAAGTGGAATCTCTAAGAATGGCTTCCAGCCACTGGAACGAAACCACTACCTCTGTTTATCAGTACCTTGGCTTTCAAGTTCAAAAAATTTACCCTTTCCATGATAACTGGAACACTGCCTGCTTTGTCATCCTGCTTTTGTTTATATTTACAGTGGTATCTTTAGTGGTACTGGCTTTTCTTTATGAAGTGCTTGACTGCTGCTGCTGTGTAAAAAACAAAACTGTGAAAGATTTGAAAAGTGAACCTAACCCTCTTAGAAGTATGATGAACAACATCAGAAAACGTGAAATTGAACTGGTCTAGCACTCTACAGAAGACGAACAAAATCTCTGAAAGCAGCCTTCAACCTCTTCTGAGAAAAAAAGAAAATTTTCTGAGGCCAACCATTCTTATGAAACTGATTATGAGTGAATGGTTAAAAGATTTGTAATAGAAGGGAAAACAAGTTAAATATGCACTTTTTGTGTGTGTATCCCTTTCATTAAATATATAGTAAAACTTCATAAATGTGAATTTACCAATCTATTTAATACAACACTTCAAACTGGATAAAAGATTCCTAGAATTCAATATGGAACAGCAAAAGGTAAACTGGAAAACATAAGCATGGCTAACGATGCTGAAATGATTTATACCTAAACAATTCATGTAGACTAAAAAAGTGTTTTGATAACAAAAATGCTACTTAAAATGTGTTTCTAAATCCAAAGTAAAATAGTTCCATATACATAAAGTCCCTATTTACTAAAAAAGCAGTATTTTCTAATGTATTGAAGACAACTTAAATATTTATGTGTGTGCACATATATATACATATGTATATTTAATGACTGGAGTTTTATGCAGGATTAGTATGAAAAAGTCTCAAAACACTCAAAATGACCACAAGTATATCTGCATAAAATTCTTGTAAAACTGACAGTTTAGTAAGAAACACATAGTCTGGGAAGGACCCAGGCTATTTTCAAACTAAAACTCACTTTCATGCCCCCTAAATTGTATTTCTTGAGTTTGTTCTTTCATTTTACCTCTCATATTCACACTTTCAAGGGCTAAGATACCCAATGCAGAAAGAACTGCAAAAAAACTCAAAGGATAGGACCACCCATACCTGTTTAGAAATACAGCAGTTTTATTTCTTAGAATTACAAGGGCTGTACAGATATTATATTTTTATGGCCTTAATACTGTTTTGCTCTTGCCCATGAGCAAAACAAACCATGCTCTTAACCATTTACACTACCCTTAAGCCGGAAATGCTATTCCTGAAAATTCATCCTCAGGAATTAGTTCAAAAGAAAAAAGCTCAAGGTACAAAGATGTTTAAGATAGCATTACTCAAAATAAAAAAAAATTTGAAATAACTAAGCCTTTAACTAAATGTGGCACATCAATTTCATGGACTATTAAAAGGCCACTAGAAATTACAGCAAAATAGAAAAACACTTGATATGTGAAGTGAAAAATAAATTCAGAATATAAAATTTTTAATACAATTATAGATGATGTTATGTTTATACACATATGAGTAAAGCCTGAAAACAAATATGGAAAAATTAGAATAGCTCATATGAGGGATGTGATGAGAAAAAAAAGAGTATGAGGGATTGTAAAGATCTTTTTTATTTCCATTACTGATAGAATTTTTCATGTGTACAATAAACAACTGTGGTGAAGAAAGGGAAGCAGGGGCCAACCCCGTGGCGCACTCGGGAGAGTGCAGCGCTGGGAGTGCAGCGGCACTCCCGCGTGGAGATGTGGCCAGGTCATATCCCCCCACGCCACCCACTCGCCTCGTGTACATTGATGGACCTCTCTGGGTCTTGGTTCGCTCAACCATAACATGAGAACAATAACAGCACCTAAGGACTGTTAGGAGGATTAAATTAGTTAAAATAGGGCCAGCCCCCGTGGCATACTCGGGAGAGTGCAGCGCTTGCGAGCGCAGCGGCACTCCCGCGGCGGGTTCGGATCCTATATAGGGACGGCCGGTGCGCTCACTGGCTGAGCGTGGTGTGGGTGACACCAAGCCAAGGGTTGCGATCCCCTTACCAGTCACAAAAAATGACAAAAAAAAAGAAAGAAAGGGAAGCAGAAATCTATTATTTTCAATTTAAAACCCTAATTGCCAGTCTAAAATCACCTTTTCACAAATCATTTATTTTTTACATTTCTTCCAACTTTAGAAACAAACTTAAATAATGTAACCAACTTTCAAAGACTTGTGAAACTTACCTATACAAAATATTCTGGTAACCAGGAGCTATTCTGAGCACTGTTAAAACCACATTTTCATGAACAGTAAACTTTGGAGTCCTTGCCATAGGTGGGAAGCACAGATCCTTTAATTACTAGATTTTCTGATAATGTACACTATCAACTTTTTTCTCCACCCTATTCCGTAATTTCTTTAGCCGTTCAACAAATATTTACGATGTGTTTACTATGTGTGAGATAATGAGGGTACAAATGGCATACAAGTAATTATGCAATTACAGCACTGCAGAATAGAAGCTTTGTCAGAAAAAGTAAGTGCTTTGGGAACTCAAAAGTTAAGCACTGAATTCAGACTGGCGAATGGGAGTAATCAGACTTTTAAACTAAAACTTAAAAGAATAGGTGTTAGCCAAAGTAAAGAGAGACGAAGACAAGAAAGAGTGTTCCAGGAACAGGAAATAATATGAGCAAAAGCCAGAAAGCAAAAGAGAGTAAAACATGTTAGAAGAGCTACAAGTCCAGTATCAGTAGGACAGAGTAGAATAGTGAAATACAAAGCATAAGAGATACATAAAGGCCAGATGAGGTAGGGCTGCAATATAAAAGATGGACTTTATCTGAAAAACAATGAGGATCAGCTTAAGCAGAGAGTAGCATGATCAAATTAGAAAAATCACTAAGTGATGTATGAAGAATCAACAAGACAGAAGAAGCTAAACCAGGAGACCTAGTAAGCAGCTAATCTGACAACCCAATGATAGTGACCTGAACTAGGGTGGTGTGGTAGCTTTCTGTGTTTATACCCAATACTTCCAACTCTTCTCATTCTAAGCACGAGGAAAGGTTGGGTACAGCCTTGAGACTAGCTCTTGACAATAAGTTGTGAGAGGAAGTGATGTGTATCACCTCCAGGCCAGAGAATTTAAGATCTACAAGATCTTCCAGAGTTCTCTTTCCCTCTAGCACAGAAACCAGGAACATTTGAGATATCAACTACTCTGTCAGCCTGGGTCCTTGAGTGATTAACAAGCTGAGACACCTGCCAAACCATGATAACACGTGGTACAAAAGAGAAACAGTTTTTGTCGTTTTAAAACACTGAGATTTGGGGATTATTACCACAAAACAGCTATCCTATCCTGGCTGTTCTTACGAATAACCCTGGCCAACCAAATGAAGCAAAGCTCTACACAGGCTCTTCCTGCTGTTGAATAGGATCCACTGTCTGTGCAGAAGATGAAATTCCCTACCCATTACTTGTAGCCAAAACTACAAAAAAAAAGACATCCTTAAGCAAGTCGAAGGGAGTAGGCCTAAGAGTGGCTCTGTGTTAATATTTATAATAGTTTTTAAAATTTTTTACTATGAGTTAATTCAACAGAAATTTAATTGGAATGAGAGATAAACCTAATTACATGCTTACACCAATGATAGCCCTATTTTGGTAAAAAAAAGAACTAGCTCTTAAACATAAAGAGGAAACTACTTGGTTATTTAGAACTTTGAATAAGTCAAAGTTCTACAATCTGAAGATTACTTACAATTTTCCTAAAATAGATGAGGCTGCAACAATTAAGCAAAACCGAGGTTTCTACTACTTTTTCAAAAGTTTCTTGTTTTTGTTTTGTATTTACTATTTGATTTGATCTCTACGGCATGTCTTTTTTTCCCCTTTTTACAAAGAAATGTTTGTAAACTGAGGGATTAAGTGACATGCAAGGGGTTATACTGGCTTATACTGGAAGAAACAATGCCTGCCTTCTGGACCAAAGTCTATTGATTCATTCCATCTTGATCAACTGTTCTATGCCACAGGGACACAGTAGAGAAGCAAATAAAGTCCCTTACACATAAATGTATGGTGCATCAGGTAGTGGTTAAAGCTAAAGATAAAAATAAGGCAGGGTAGGGGGACTGGGTGAGATGGAAAGTGCCTGTGAATGTGTGTTGGGGAAGGGGGTAAAATTACTCTTATTTTATGGGAAAAAAGTCAAGGAAGGCAACATCAATAAGGTGACATCAATGTCACTTTGTCACACCATTAATTTGTGCTGATTGGGCAGGGATGTGAAGGAAATATAGGAATGAATCACACACACACACACAAAAAGAAATCAGCTCTGCTTTAACATCAGTTATTAAAATAGCTTGAAGGACATTTAACAAGATAACATCAATAAAGATTATTATTGCTACCTTTTGTAGTAGCTAAATAATTTGGGTGGCAAATTAAGTTACATTAACCTTATTGTTTAAAAGATATTAGTCTAAGAGTAAACTAAACCCAAAGCAAGCAGAAGGAAGAAAATAATAAATACTGAAGTAGAAATAAATGAAATTAAAAAAAAAAAAACAGAAAAACCAATGAAACCAAAAGTTAGACCTTTGAAAAGATCAACAAAATTGACACACCTTTAGCTAGACTGACACCAAGGAAAAAAGAAAAAACACAAATTCCTAAAATCAGAAATGAAAGACAGGGTATCACTACTGATCTTACAGATCAAAAGGATTATAAAAAAATACTTTGAAAAACTTAGGTAATGCAAATATTGACCTGGATAAACTCCTAAAAAGACGCAAAGTACCAAAATTAACTCAAGAAGAAACAGAAAATCTGATAGACCAATAACAAGAAATTCCTACAAAGAGCTTTCCACAAAGGAAAGCTCAGTCCCAAATGGCTTCACTGGTGAATTCTATCAAACATTTAAAGAAATAATAACAAATCTTCACAAACTCTTTAAAAAAACACAGGAAAAAGGAACACTTCACAAATCATTTTAGGAAGCCATAATTACACCGATAAGCATCACAAGAAAACAAAACTATGGTCCATGTCCCTTATGAGTAGGGATGCAAAAATCCTGGACAAAATACCAACAAACTGAATACTGCAACAAATAGAAATGATTATACACCATGACCAAGTAGGATTTATTCCAGTAATGCAAGGTTGGTTGAATACCTGAAAAAGCAATTAATGTCAATATATCATATTAACAGAGTACAGATTGAGTATCTCTTGCCCAAAATGCTTCAGACCTGAAGTGTTTCGAACTTCAGATTTTTTCGGATTTTGGAATATTTGCAGAATACATACTAGTCGAGCATCCCTAATCCAAAACCTGAAACATTCCAATGAGCATTTCCTTTGAATGTCACATCAGTGCTCAAAACTTTTCAGACTTTAGAACATTTCAGATGTTGGATTTTCAAATTAGGGATGCTCACCTTGAAAAGGACAGGAACAACATGATCATCTCATTAGATACAGAAAAAGCAT